TTGCTGCGGCGCCCGGGGAGCAGTTGGGGGTTCGGTATTGTCGTGGTATTGAAGGTGGGAGAGAGCGTTGTACATTCACTCCCCCCACCTACAATCCCTGCCGGTACGAAACTCGAACCCGCAACCTTTGGGTTACGAGTCCGACTCTCTAACCATTAGGCCACGACTTCCCCACAATTGGCAGCTGTGTGCACCCTGTGCTGATTATGATAGATTCTAGTACGACTTTAAATACCATGCTGGAGTGCATGGAATTTTGTTTTTAAAAAATTAGAATAAAACCGTACAAAAACACACTCCCAGTCACCCGATCATGTCCAGGTCAAAAAAAGAAATTATATTTTCCATAAGGAATGGAGGCCTAAATTTAGGACCATTAGAATTTTTTTCCACTGACACGTTTTCTTGACAAATTTAAGCGGTTTAACCCAAATTCTGAAAGAAAAAAAAAATTATTGACCCAGACATGTGCTTGACAGGCTTTGTGACATTCACCGAAGTGAGTGAATCCTTGGCAAGCCACTTTTTTTTTTTTAACAGACTAAATATTCAGGAATGAAAGCATGTGTCTGAAGTTTAATCATAAATGCAATCCATGCTTTGGCAGAGTTGCAGTGTTGATTGCTGTTAGATCTAGTTTAGATATAGTGTTTTACTGTAGATTAGGCCCAGCTGAATCTCCTGTAATTTTTATTTATTTATTCATCTATTGTTTTGAGGCTCAGGCCCTGCATGACCTGAAAAAGGAATTAAGGCAGCAAATGAACACACTCGTATTGCAGCCGGAATCCGGCTACATCATCTTGCAACCACCCCTTTGATGGATATTTTCTCCAGCGCTATAGATCTGAATGGGGCACCACATCAAATGAGTCACAATAACACTGAACAGAGATCCGGCCAATTTTGAGTCATCGCGCTGCGTTTATTTTCACGAGGGCAGGCAGCTTATTTGATTAAGATGTAACTGTGTGCAGAGTGCTCCTTGTACAGATGCACTTGAGCAGCAGGGGCATGAAATATGCTCTGCTTGTTCCAAATCAAGAGCGGAGTCATGATGGCCTGTCACAACTAAACATGTTAGGAATTACATGCTTTACAGAGTTCAGGCGCAGACTGGTTCAGCATGGCCGCCTCTGAAAACAGGTGTGTATGTAGAGCTCTGCTATGGAAAGTGGAAATTTGAGGGGAAAAAAAACAGGGGTGTAACAGAAAAACTGGGTGTTTCTAAACGATATAGGCTAAATTATATATTAATAATTTTATATGTATGTATGTTTGTATGTATCTATCTACTGTAAATTGACTTTGCAGGTGCAAGGGTCCTTAAAATACAAAATTGAAATAAATGCACTCTGGCTATTGTTCGCATTCTAGTGATTATCCCTTTGCGTGTCAATGGTGCTGCCCCCTGCTCTAAATAATTGTGTTTCTTCCCTTTGTTGTTACAGAAACTGTTAAAGAGCACACGTGGATAACGTGGATGACGGGAGTTCCCCATCACAACCCTTTATTTGTTCAACAGCATTGACCCCATGAACTAAAATTTACTTAAAGTCTTCAGTATGTGTGAGCTATAGTATAGAGCAATACTATATACTATAGATAAACATTTTACCTTTATTCATTCCTTAGAACTTTTACGTGCACGATGGAATTTATGTTGCTTTGTCTCAGCGTCGGGCCCATTATTAGGCTGTGATTAATTTCTCTTCATGATTGTTGAACTTTTGCTTCTAGTTTTGTGTAAATCATATATGATGGACAGTATCTAGCCCAGATATCTAAAGCAACACCTGTGTCCCTCATCTCGTTGGATCGTATTATTACTTAATACCTGTTAATAAACAATTTGTACCACTTAACTTGGGTAACACATGGTTGAGTAACCGTGCAGTTTTTTTCTTCGCTCTGTAAAGCAACAAGATATTTGGCTCTCGGCCATCAACAACACTGGGAATATTATCTGTGGCTGCTCACAAAAGCAGGTTTTTAGCAGGAAAGTTCACTCAGATGATATTTCGCTCTCCTGTATTGACTCAGTATCAGATGGACGTCTTGTAACGAGATAATAATTTTATTTCAAATTTAATTACTAATATCTGAGTGACCTATAAGAAAATACACAAACAAATCTGTTAAGAACATGGCCAGGATACCATAAAATCATCTTTAAAATGAGAAAATTAGTGCAAAATGCAGTTAACATTTGAAATTTTATGTATATATACTTTGACATTTTCATTACAAGAGCTAAAACAAATCTCAAGTAGTTGAATTGTGAAATTCATTTAGTTGAAGAGGTTTTAAATAAGATCTGAAGGAATTTTCCTTCCTACCATTGGATACTGCCTGATTGTGTTTCTGACATATAGTACCGTTCAAAAGTTGAGCATGGTAGGATTTATAAATGTTTTTTGAAAGAAGTCTCTTATGCTCACCAAGGTTGCATTTATTTGATCAAAAATGCAGTAAAAACAGTGATATTGTGAAATATTTTTACCATTAAAAAAAAAAAGTTTTCTATTTGAATATGTTTTAAAATATGTTTTAATTTATTACTGTGATGGCAAAACTGAAATGTCAGCAGCCATTACTCCAGTCTTTTTTTTTTTTTAAATAAAGAAAAGAAAGAAAGAAAAGTATATTACCGTAACAAGAGTTTTGAATGGTAGTGTATGCAGTGTCTCCAACTGGTTGCCTCAGGAGTCAGTCAGCTCTGTTCTTGCATCTGCTCCTTGCTTCTTGCCCATGTTGTGTGGGATCAAAGGGCCTGACCCCAGGACCACAGGAAAGTAAATGTTTGGGTCTCACTTTTCGGGTGTATAACACTGATGATCACATGACCTGGGAGTCACCCTCCTTTAATCCTTCTGTCAGAATTAATTGGGCTGCCAGGGATTGATCAGCGTAGTGTTTGTACTTTTTGCCTGCCTTTTAGTTTTGAGAAGAGTTGTCTGTTGATAAGAGTCTAGAATGTTCTCCAGACCTCTAAATCCACCTTTATCTTCATCTTTCATGTATGACATCATCTTCATCTATCTTCATCCTCACAGTTGGAATGGTGCCGTTTATTCTTCTACTTTTTCCATCATGGCCTTTCTTCATGCTGCTGTTTGGGAAGTAGATGTATGTATCATTACAGGAGCAGACTGTAGGAAAAGGGCGATCATTATTCACCTTGTCATGCAAGACCAGAAGAGGGCAACAGTGAGAATGCATGCAACATGAAAGCTTTTTTTGTTTGTTTGTTTGTTTTAAATGATTTAAACTGCATACTGACTCTTTAATTGTGTATTTCTCTGGATGATGTTAAAAATGGATGCCACAAATGCAAATTAAATCTTTTGGCCTTTAAAAACATTTCCCACAGTCCATAGAGATCAAAACGTCCAGAATAGCCATAAAGTGTTGGGGTTATTATTATTAACATTTCTTATACGTTTTGATGCTATATATAAAATATTTGTTTTAACTTGCTATTCATTTATGGATATAAAGTAGCGTCACGTATGTGTTCCCTAAACTTATCGAAGAGTTAGTTATTCATATTCATATCCCTTTTTCCATTGCAGGTGTTTGTGTTAGAGCTATGGGCCAAATTTGACCCTTTTCAGTTTACAGAAACACTATTTCTATTTATGTTGCTCCACCTGTTCCAGCCACTTTAATTTTTACTACACTTAATTTATATGTTGTTTGTTATATAAATAACCTCCCACCCTTATGTTAAGCTGGCATAAAGATGCTTAAATAATGAAATTAAATAAAATCAAAAATATGTTCTTGATAACAGTAAATTATGTTTGTTTATGGGCAGCAGGGTTTGTACGGCTGCTTGAAACTGGTTAAATTTTAATTGTATTGCTTTCATAATAATTTGACTGAATAGTTCTCTTTTTAGATAAAATAAATCAGAGGGGGACTAATTGCTTTTGCCTTAGCGTAAAATGAAGACAAATATTTGCTTGAGACTCACTTAATGCTTATTCTCCTGGAAGTCTTGTCTTTCTGCATAGTAACAACTCAATTTCTTATCCGCTGTAAGGCAACTGCTTTTAAACGCTCTTGTTCGTATTTGTGTGTGTGCTCTGGTTTTTATTTACTAAGGCAAAGGTTTGTGTATTTGTAGTGTTAAGTACCATAGCCTATCATAGGTATGTCTTTTGAAAGCAATGGTCTATCAGAAGTCTGCGTCAGTTCTTGTTTCTAAAGTGCAGTGGAAAAGGACAAGTTCTAAGAGAGATTTGCAAATTCCCTGGTCAAGCACCAGCTTAGCAGCAATTTAGTGGAAAAGGGATATCATACAGCTCTTCCATCAAATAGTATGTTGGCAAAAACTTTGAGGAAATTTGATGTGTCTTGAAAGTCATGTTAGTGACCAGCTCCATCAAAGAGTCCAGAGTCCTTCAAAGAAACAAGTTGCATATGCCTTTCTCTCAGAATTTCCTTGTTCTTCTTAAAAGGCAACCTCACACCATTGACGTGTCTTTGCAAACACCTCAGGTTTTTGTGACTCAAGCAGGGTTGAGCTAATGGAACTGTTCCCGTCACTGCAGTGGGGTCTGGTCCTCTTGGGGAGATGGTCCGTCTTTCCTAGCCCAAACCAGCTTCAGGAGCCAAACACTCCCTATATGCCCTTTCTGAAGTAGCGTGACAGTGATGCCATGGAAGCTGACCCTCTGTGGCATTGTGGTTTGTGGTAGGGATTCCTCATCCCCACCTGCTTTTGTTACCCAGTGGTCCGCACTGACCATAGCGTTAAAAGGCCTTGCTGGGACATGATTTAACAGGGCTCCAGGCCTCTGATGTCATGCATGATGTTTATGTGCCAGGTGGGTATGCATTGGAAAGAAGTTCACTATGGTAAAATACATGTGATGTTTCTCTGCCATGGAACATCGATCATTTGGTGTGTTTAAGGTAGTGCCGCTTTCTCAAAACACTTTTTTAAAACCCAATGTGGCTTACCATGTTTATTGCAAATTTTTCCAGTCTTTTTTTTTTATTTTTTATTATTTTGTTCTTGGACCATCTCAAGCCTCCATCCCAGAGCCTTAAGAGATTTGACTATTATTGTTTTAATTTAGTTTTTATATCTTCACTTTTTCTATTCACTTTTTTTTTTTTACAGTTTTTACTCCTATTAGTATTTTCAGTGTTTTCTAGTTTGTTTGTTTATTTATTTATTTATCTTTTATTTATTTATATATATATATATAATTTATTTGTAGTTTTAGTGTTACTATTTTTATGTGTTAAACTAAACTAAATTAGCACAATTACTAAACTGGTTATTGCTATCTGGTGGCATTAATGTGGCAAAAAAAATAATAATTACATTGCAAAATAACAGTTTTTTGTGTATTATTCAGTACATTCAACACATTCTTACTGATGCATAAACTGGCCCAAAACTCTGGCACATGGGCTCTGGGCCGGTGGGCCATCCTTATCTTCGAACCCTGAGTTGAGATTTTTTTTTTTTTTCCTTTTAAATGTGACAACCTTGATAATAATTGGAGTCACCATGTTCTGCAGGACCCGCAGCAAACAGTTTACTTCAAGTTACTTTAGATAAGCTTTTATAATCCCTCAGTGTACCAACTAAAATATGAACCTGCAAAGAATAAAGCAAAACAAACAGATTAGATCCTATCCAACATTTAATAGATGTCTTTCTGCTGGTAATGGGCGGAAGGAAAGTATTGAAACGTATCTGCCATGCTTGATTTCATTGCACCACAGAAGTCATTACATTTAAACAGCTTTGCATTTGTTTGTTTGTGTTGCTTATGCCCTCATGCAAGGTAGCCAGTCTGGAGCACTCAAAACACATATGTATTTGCACAGCTGGATGTTTACAGATGCTGTTCCAGGTGAAGGAGTTTAACACAGTTCCTTACCTCACTAGTTAACCATCAGTACCGGCTGGCTCACGGCCCACACATCCACCTCTTTTTCTCTGGGGCTCTTTTACTCTTTCATACCTCTAGGCCCCCTCAAACGCACATGACCGGCCCGCTTCTAATCTCACTTTTCGAGGGTCTTGGTTTGTTTTACCTGTCCAGAATCCCACATAGCTCTTACAATGCCCAGGACCAACTCAGAGCAGATTTAATTTGATAACCCAATGAAAACGCTGAAGAATTGAAATTAGACATGGTGTTTGGAGCACTCACTTGTGGCTTGACTGAAGCCGATGACTTTCACGAAAGAAGAGAAGCTTGTTTTTGTCAAAGAATTGCATATACACAAATACTTTTGAGTTTACATTATTTAAGTCTTATTTAAGTGTGGTCAGTGGCTGCAGTTTCCTCCAAAAGTTTGAAATCACCCTAGGCTAAGCATTTTCTGATGACTTTGCATTGATAAGGGACGACATAAACTATGAAGCACATTTCATTACGAAACAATTCAGAATATAGAAGAACACTTCAACATTTATGTCAAGAAATGGTATGGATTCATACTGGTATTGCCAAAAATCTCATTTTGAAAGCTTCTCTCTGGAAAAAAGGTACAAAGCTGTCATTTGGGTGGTACCCAAAAGTATAAAAGCTAAAAAGTACACCCCTAAATTTGACATGTAATTACCATAAATGTTCATATTAGTGCCTAATTAGTAAATTTTTGCTTTATACCTTAAGAGTGTTTCCAAAGTTTAGAGGGCACTCTATGTTGCCACTCAAGTTACAAATTTCCATTAAGTTCCAAAAATATTGGAATATCGCAAAATTAATTTGCTAATAAAGCAGCGTTCCAATCCCATTCCATCGTCTTATGTCTGGGAGCGAAAATAGCAGCCAGTCATTTTGATGAAAGGCTTTGGCTCTGACATTGCAGAATGACCAGA